ACTACTTACCTTTTCATCTTACGATGTTTCTTCTAATTGTTAGGATGTTGAATTCTTACGATGCTTCTTCTTCCTTCGATGTGTTCTGATATTCAAGCTTGAAGTTCTAGGATGTTTCTTCTAATTGTTAGGATGTTGAAGTCTTCTAAGCTTGAATTCTTACGATGTTTCTTCTCCTTTCGATGTTCTTCCTATTCATTAGATGTCTTCTCACTACTTACTTTTTCATCTTACGATGTTTCTTATAATTGTTAGGATGTTGAATTCTTGTAAGCTTAAATTCTTACGATGCATCTTCTCCCTTCGATGTTGTTCCTTTTGATTAGATGTCTTCTCACTTCTTATCTTCTCTCCTAATGATGTGTACTGGTATTCAAGCTTGAAGTTCCACGATGCATCTTGTGATTGTTAGGATGTTGAGCTCCAGTAAGCTTGAAGTCTTACGATGCTTCTTTTCCCTTCGATGTTCTTCGTATTAATTAGAGAGTTTTCCTGCATTGTCCATTACTAACGAAACTCATTTATCTTCTTATTGTTTTGCATTCCTCACGTTCTTCTGATTGGAAGTTTATGAAAGTGGGACTCTTTGAATACTCGGTCGCACTGGCCCCACCTTTCGGCTGAGTTGCCAGAGAGTTTGACCGAATTGAATTGAAAGTCAAGGAATATGAGGTGCGAAAGTGGAAGGAGATGTTCAGAAGGAATGAATAGTTCGGTGGAACCAATGAGGGAGTAAGGTGTGAGAGAGGAAATTATCTCCTCAATAGGAGGAGTCCTCCCTAGTGGACTGCTTTCGAGTGGTTCAGGGAGGATTTGACAAATCTTTTTTTCTAGGTGATCCTGCCATCGTATATATGGATACTGCAAACACTAGGGATAAGGGGCCAGTTGGNGCCATCGTATATATGGATACTGCAAACACTAGGGATAAGGGGCCAGTTGGTGAAAGAGAAAAGTGCCGGATCGGACGGGAAGGATGGGGGATCGGATCCCGGTGAAAGACTCACTGAGAACCGACCCCCTCCCCCCACCGGCTGGACAAGTCTCTCAACCGAAGGTTGAGAACTAAATTACCAGATTCTCAACCGAAGGTTGAGAGGAAGCCCGCATGACTGCCTGTGATATGGGTATAATTATTTATTGAAAATTGGAATAAGTTATTATGGAAAAAATGGGCATGACCCCTCTCCTTTTTGAGCTTTTTGGGATCAAACTTACCTACTTCTGCTTCTGCTACGGCTTCTGGTCCGATCTGAAATCTGTCTCTTCTTTCTATTTCACTGTGTCTCTGTGTTTCTGTTTCGATTTCAATGTT